CTCCGGGTTGGATGTCTGTTCGACATGCTCAGGGCGTATGTGTCAAACATGCCAGCAGTCGCTCCAGGCTAACACGGATGAAATTCTGCGAGACCGCATTGTTACCGGCATCCTGCAGGATGACGTTCGACACAAGCTGCTGGCAATGAAGGATCTAACCCTGGCAACCTGCGTCGACCTATGCCGCGCCGAGGAGGCTGCCAGTCAAACCTCGTCACGTATCCCCAGTCAGGCCACTGGAGACGCGTCCGTGAGTGCCGTTCGTTCCAGCTATAAGAAGCAGAAAGGAATGGCATCCAAGCAAGCTCGAGCACCCGCAGCCAAGGATACCAAGTCTGGCAGCAAGCCCTCGCCGGACAAGTGTCCCAACTGTGGCCGCACCGCTCATAGCAAGCGACCCTGCCCTGCTGCGGATCGCAAATGCAATGGCTGCCAACGCACCGGTCACTTCTTATCCATGTGTCCGTCTGCTTCTAAGAGGACTGTCGGTCAGCTGAAGCTGCAACGTGCCGCGTCCTCCCGTGAAGGGGCTACCATAGCCGTCAACACGCAGCTCGTGTCTGCCGACAAGCCAACCAGTTTGCGCTGGCTTCCTGACACCGGCAGCGACATCAACGCTATTGGCCCTGCACACCTCGAGCTCCTCGGAGACTTTATTGAGAATCTGCCTACCGACAAGGATATTGTGCGCACCGCTGATGGCGCACCCTTGACCAGTCTTGGCAAGATCCAGGCGACCTTGACGCTCGATTCCGTCACACACGACACCACACTGCACGTGTACAAAGGCCTGGATGAGGCACTGCTATCCCGCCAAAGCCTCTGTGCCTTGAATCTGTTGCCTGCTTCTTGGCCCTCCGTGTTTGTCCGTTCTGCCCGTACTGAACCCAACACGGCCCGGCAGCTCCAACAGCAGCTTCTGGAAGAGTTTGCCGACGTTTTCGACAGCTCACAGCTTCCACCAATGGATGGTCCGCCCATGGACATTCAGTTGGAACCAGGTGCAGAACCCAGCTGCGTCCGCACTGCTCGCACCATACCGTTTGCCTACCGGGATCAGATAAAGTCCCAACTGGACAGTATGGTCGATGATCGCATTATCGAGCCAGTCACAGAACCCTCTGCGTGGTGCCATCCGATCGTTCTCGTTGAGAAGAAGGGCACAACTGAGATGCGACTGACTGTGGACCTTCGAAAGCTGAATGATCAGGTACGCAGACCCACCCATCCTGCTCGTACACCACATGACGCAGTGGCAGCCATCGGCAAAGCCCGCTACTTCACGAAGCTCGACGCCCAACATGGCTATTGGCAAGTCCCGCTGTCCGACGATGCCAAGCCGCTCACCACCTTTATCACACCGTGGGGGCGGTACCAGTTTCTTCGCAACCCGCAGGGCCTTGTCTCGGCTGGTGATGTATTCAACTCCCGTACCGACGCAGCGTTTGATCGCCTCACCAACTTCGTAAAAGTGGTTGACGATGGTCTTGTGTACGATACGGAACTGACGACTCATTTCACCCACGTTCGTGACGCTCTGCTCCGCGCCCGTCAGCACGGCATTACCCTGAGCGCCAAGAAATTCGTCTTCGGCGTCCCAGAAGTCGACTACTGTGGCTACCACATCAACACGGATGGTTACACCGTTGACAGTGACAAGACGGCAGCCATCACTGATTTCCCAGTACCCGTTAATCGCACTGACGTCCGCTCATTCTTCGGGCTAATCAATCAGTGTAGTGATTTCTCGCCCCGTATCGCACAGCTCAGCGACCCGCTTCGCCCGTTGCTGAAGTCCACGAATGTGTTCCTGTGGGAGTCGGCACACACTGACGCGTTTAACGCCGTCAAAGCTGCCCTGGCTTCTCCCCCGATATTGTCGTTCTTTCAGCCTGGCCGACCGCTTCGGTTAGAAACTGATGCGTCCGTGAAGAACGGACTTGGTTATGTTTTGTGGCAGCAGCAGGGCGACACCTGGTGCATACTCCAATGTGGAAGCCGGTTCCTCTCTGATGCCGAGACGAGATACGCCGTCATTGAGCTTGAATGCCTTGCAGTTACCTGGGCAGTACGCAAGTGTTCGATCTATCTCTCCGGTGCTCGGTTTGAAGTTATTACCGACCACCGCCCGCTCATCCCTATTCTGAACTCCTACTACTTGGATCAGATAGAGAATCCCCGGCTGCAGCGGCTCGTCCTGAAACTTCGGCCCTATCAGCTACACGCAACCTGGCGGAAAGGCACGGATCATGCTTTCCCTGACGCTCTGTCCCGCCATCCAGTCAGCGACCCCTGCCCTGACGATGAACTGGGTGAGAGTACTGCCTCTCAGGGCGCTGCTATCCGTGTGTGCACGCTTGATACGTCTGGTGGCCTGAAGTACCACGCGCTCCGCTCCGCCGCCCAGGCCGACGCTGACTACCAGTGCCTAGTTCAGTTCATCGTGTCTGGTTTCCCTGCTAAGAGGTCCCTCATGCCTGAGTCACTCCAGCCGTACTGGAATGGTCACGAGCACCTCTCTATTGACAGTGGTTTAGTGATGAAAGGACCCCGTCTCTTGATTCCCGTCGCTCTCCGGCAGCGTGTCTTGTCTGATCTGCACGCATCCCATCAAGGATTGACGCGCACGAAGTCCCGTGCCCGGCAGATTGTATTCTGGCCACGATTGTCAGCCGACATCGAGCATGTTGTCCGCAGTTGTAACAAGTGCCGCCTGCACAGCGCCTCACAACCGAAGGAGCCACTCCGTGTGGACGATCGTGCTCCAGATCTGCCATTCCAGCATTGCAGCGCCGACCTGTTTGAGTGTGAAGGCCTGCAGTATCTAGTGTATGTGGACCGACTAACCAGCTGGCCCTGCGTTGCCAAGCTCGGACGCACTGCCTCCTCTGCAGACGTCATTCGGTCTCTTCGCCGCTGGTTTCCTGACATTGGTGTCCCCGAGGTACTTACCAGTGATGGTGGCCCTCAGTTCCAGTCCCATGTGTTCGCTAAGTTCTGTGATACCTGGCACATCCGTCATGCTAAATCCTCTCCCCATTATCCGCAGTCGAATGGGCTTGCCGAGAATGCCGTGAAAGCCATGAAGTCGCTAATTCACAAGACCACTAGTAATGGCGACCTCGACGTGGATTCCTTTCAACGTGCGTTGCTTGAGTGGAGGAATACCCCGAACGCCACTGGTCAGAGTCCAGCCCAAGCTCTCTACGGCCGGCCTCTGTCGTCTTTTGTGTTTGCCCACCATTCCAGCTTTGCTCCTGCATGGCAAACACACGCTAATGAAGTTGACCAGCGCTCATCACACTACCTGGAGTCGACTCAGCAGCATTACAACCGCTCTGCTCGGTCCCTTCCTCGTCTGTCTCTTGGAGCACATGTCGACATCCAGCATCCCCGGACCAAGTTGTGGTCAGCTCATGGCTCAATCGTAGCCATTGGTCAGCACCGGGACTACTTGGTGAAACTTCCAAGCGGCCGCATCTATTGGCGCAACCGCCGTTTCCTCCGACCAAGAGTCTCTCCTACACCCCCGCCAGCTGCAGCCGTCCCTACTGTTTATGCTCCAGACGCGGCACAAGGCCAGACACCAGTTGCCTCTATTGCCCCTGGTGTACATGCCCCAGCACAGCCTGCACCACGCCGCAGTCATCGCCATCGGCAGCAGAATGTCCCGTTTAATGTGATATCCACACGCGGACAATCTTATGACTGATGACTTTGTCCTCATTCTGTTTCTGCTCTTCTGCCGGACCTATGACTGTTGCTGTTACTTATGCACTTCATTGCTGCTGTGTTTTTTTTGTTTTTGTTTGTTTTGATCAGATAAATATGTCTTTTATCTCAGAAGGGGCGTGGTGTATCCATATATGTTCTGCCTGTTGTACGCATTGCCCTTTTGCACTCGCGTGTGTACGCATACTAGTACACACATGCATCACGGTTTTCTGCCTGTCCTTTGCTATGGACAAGAAGTCTTTTCTCTTTGTCTTCTGAAAGATAAGTCACAAACCCTACCTCGTGTGTTTGCGTTTGTTGACACAACAAGGGAGGGAGGGAGACGGAGAGAGAGAGAGAGAGAGAGAGACAGGGTGAAAGAAAGAGAGAGAGGGACAGGGTGAGAAAGAGAGAGAGCCAGGTAAGGGGCCTGGGTAGCTATCGAGAATACTGGCAGCCAGGCAGCTGCCGAGGCCAACAGAACAAAGGTCTCATCCGGCAGCCCGGTCGGCTACGGTGTGCAGGCCAGCATGGCAAAGAATGTGCGAGGGTATTATGCCGTAGATGAGAACTTTTAACCTTAATTTGGCCAACACCAGAAATCATTCAATTGTCAGAACTTTTTTTGGTTATCTTGGACTGTATTGAACCAATTAAGAATGTCTATAAGTTTGATCTAAATATGACAAGGCGTTATGGAAATATGTATATGTTCCCAAAAGGGAACGTTGGCCGGATCGGGTACCAAAATCACCCTGATTTTTATGCGAGGTTTATACGGCAGATTAAAATGAATTATTTTGCTGCGAAAGCTTTTGTGGAGCAATGCAAACATAAAACAATAGTAGTGAAGATAGAAATCATGAGATTGTCTTCACGGAGTGCCCATAGATGCTACTTGGCGGATCATGGCTGCGGATCTCGACCTAGCGTGTGTGATACAACTCGTTGCAGTTGGCACCATGATCGAAATGCAGCCGAACACCACACTTGGAGCATTTGCATCTCGTGTTTCGCTTGCAAACCTTACAACGACCTTGGGTTGTCGACTCTCTTGTGTGTCCGACGCCATCATATCTCACATCCACCGGAAGTCCGGATACTCGTGGTTCGGGGCGAAGGTCGGTTTTCAACAAACTGACGGTGATCTCACGACGAAACTCGATGTGGGACATAGGCTTCTCGTGAACCTTGCAGTGCAGACGCCAAGCAGCTACAACGGTCGCATTCAGGTGGTTGACAAATAATGCCCAGTACCACTTCTTGCCGGAGATGCGTGGGCGATAAGAACCCAGGAGCCGATCGAAAAGATCCACACCGCCCATTCCCTTGTTATAGAGTTGGATGAGATGTGGCTGGGTGACAGTGGTGTTAGACACATTCTTCACCCTCCTTTTCACAGTTGCAAGGGGCTCGTGTGTGGCATAGTTGCTGGCGGCATTCACGACAGAATTGTCATTCCACTTGCAGATGAACACGGTTCCGTTGCAGCGGTAATCAAATGTGCCTCGGGCCTTCTTCTTGAGCTCTTTTGTTGAGACCAAACGCTGGTTAGCACCTCCAGTGCGGTTGTCCCGAACAGTACCGACTGCACGCATGTTTTTCTCGGCCAGGATTTCCAAAAGGCTGTAGCTGGTGAAGAAATTGTCGAAGAATAACTCGTGGCAGCGGGTGTCGGAGTGGACTCGAATTACATCGACCATGTCGCCAACCACTCTCAGGCCCAGTGGACTCACTGGCCTGCCTTCCTGGCGACCGGTGTAAATTTGCAAGTGGTACGGGAATCCATCACTTCCACATAAACACCAAATTTTGTAGCCGAACCGGATGGGCTTCCCCTTTATGAACATCTTCGCACTGTGTTTGCCAAAATATGGGACCATCGACTCGTCGATACTCAGCAGAGGATGGAAGATGTTCCACTTTACCAGCTGCTCGTTGAGGCTATCATATAGCGGAGCCACCTTTGCCATTTTATTTCCTTCTTGTAGAGCTTGGTTGTCCACAAAGTGAAGGTATTGTTTGATCGATCGGAATCGGTTACGGCTCATCGCTGTTTGTACAAGTGGTACTCCGAGGTCTGGTTGCGTTGACCAATAGTCGCTCTCAGTTGGCAAAGTGTGGTAACCAGAAAGAAGAAGGATTCCTAGAAATCTCTCCAGATCTACTGCCTCCAAGCCGAAGCTGTCGTTGTTTTTTTCCCGTGCTGCATACAGTAATGATTGATCTACAATCTTCTCGATCAGTGCAGGTGTGTATATTCCCCGCCAGAGATCCATAGGCGACGCCGTTATAAGTTCAGGATGATCGTCAATAAATGAGGGCAGTTCCATTTCAGGAAGGATGGTGTCGAAAGCAGTCCTCTTCATCCAGCGTGTCGCACCCGCGGGTGTCCGCTTTGCCGCAGGCTCACCACTACCCTCATCCTCGCTATCATCAGACCCATGAACTTCATAATCTTCATCCTCAGACTCGTACTCATCTAGCTCCATCTCTCCTGCAGGTTCCATGATATGGTCGTCATCCAGTAAATCATCACGCCCGTCCTCAACATCGCTATCGACATTTGCGTCACCAGTGCTCGGCGGCAAAATGACCAGGTTCTCAGGTTGATCTGAGTTCTCAACAGCTTCCTCAGCTTCCAGCAGTGTAACTATTCTGGATGTCCTTTTAGGAAGGACTCTCCTCCCGTAGAAAGCTCCATCAGCCATACCTTACTACAAATAATACGCTATTTTTTGACAAAAATTCAACCGCGCGCGGGAAAAGCAGCAACGGATCAGGATGAATGCATGAAGCCTCTGTAATTTGTAACGTCTATTGAACGAGTGGTTCTAGTTTCGAAAAAGACAAAACAAAATAACTTAGGGACTTTGTATCGATCGGTGCCGAATCAACCCCCTTGGAGGCGACTCCTCGGGTCATTCCACGCATTGCTAAATAGCCGTTCGACAAAATTATGGTTGCCATGGAGATTTTCAAGGCACCATATAAACTTGAAAAGTCTCCATTCCGGTTATATTCACCTTCCTGAATACTTCAGACAAGGGATATGTGGGCATGGCTTGATTCCAGAGAACTTACCATAATAGGGTACATTTGGGTATCGAATCCGGCCAACGTTCCCTTTTGGGAACATCAAAGAAAGACGCAGGGTGTTTATGTAATATTACCAAATTTCTCTTGATTTTTTAGGCCAGTTGTATTGCCAAAGGACCGGGGATCACATCTCATATAGGGTTTGCCCTGAAAAAAGCTGTTTTCCACATCAATAGTGAACATTTCTAACGTTCATACGAATACCAAGAATTACCGCCATTTGGTCTAATATTGAGGAATTTGAAAAATTCTGAAACCCACCAAGTACTTTGTTATTCATGATCAGCAAGCTTCCAGTTATGCATAGAAACAAAAATAGTGCAGAAAAACGAAAAATTACTACCTCAAATACAAAGAAGAAAAACATGTTCCCTTTTGGGAACATTGGCCTGATTAAGGTTAAACACTATGTATTGACTGGTTTCTGCCCTGAAGTTGGTTGTTCCAACGAGGTACACACGCTTCTTGCCGAACTGGACACTTGACTGACTCATGACTGCCATTCTAAGGTTAGTGGTTACTTTAAAAGTAAAGGTTAGTATTGTTTCTGCCTGTGATCTCCATCTGCTATTTTTACAGTCAAGTATGCGTGCCCGCTGAGTGCAGTCACCCTGATTTACCCACCATCACCTGCCTACAGACAGCAGCACAACTACACGACCTCCGCGCAGGCCTGCAACGACTTTG